TTGTGGTACACCACAAACTAGGTCCACACTTCGTTCCGTAGCTGATTGGCCCTTGGTTTTAGTCCGCGTTGGCGCCAACAGCGGGGCGATCATTGCCGTAAGAGAGGAGCCCAGCCGATGCCTACACAGCTCAACAAGCTTGGCCCTAGGTACCATGTCATAAGCCCTTTTTAGGTCCAGGATTGCCACCTGGTCTTTGCCATGCAGCAGCATGTCATTTGCATGGAGGATGGCGGAGTCGGTGCCAACTCGACGCTGAAAACCCCATTGATTTGGGTGGAACTTGTACGCCTTCACAACAATGGCATTGATCGCTGATGATACCGCTTTCCTCATGTGTGAGAGCAGCATGATTGGCCTGTAGCTTTCTGGTCGAGACGCGTCACCTTTCTTGTACATCGGGGCCACCACGCCTTCACGTAGCGATAGTGGCATGTGCTCCACGCGGCCAACAGCAGCCCACACCTCAAACAGCAGGTTACCGAAGCCTCCAGGATCGAGCTGTAGCATCTCAAACATGATCCCATCCTCTCCTGGTGCCTTATTCCTTTTCCCCCTGATAATGGCATTCCTGATCTCTTCTTTTAGTTCTGGCACCGGGTAGAACGGCTCCATCTGGATAGTAGGGTCGTCACGTTGCGAAGATGCAAGGTAGTTAGTGAATGTTAGCGGGTCTACGTGAGGCGTGTCCTCGCAATCTACTGCCAGGCCAAAACGGGCCAGGGTCTGGTCGAGCCTGAGTTCCTCATCGGTTTCTGTGCCTTCAGCCAGTTCAGCGAGGGCCCGTCTGAGGAGTCTACGTTTCCTACGCCTGAACTCACGCTTTATCGCACGGTCCATCATTTCTGCTTCTTTTCTGAGTTCCTTCTTGCCTGACTTTGCTGCCTGGCGCAGCAGTTCACGTTTCCTTCTGGACTTACGCTCGAGGGTATGCGTCCAGCCCGCGCGAAACCTGGGAGCTTTGCTACGGACGTGTTGAAGCCATGGTTGGGTGACCGCCTCCACAATATCCGCCATGAGTGAGTCCAACTCCTTTGGCGACTGGACACCCACCGCCTGGTCCGCAAGCTTCGGTATCTGGACGTCATACTGGGCTTTGACCTTTTTTCCAATCGCTGGGGAGTTCAGTATACTACGCGGGACGCGCAGCATGCCGGCCGGCCTTCGCTTGTATCGGGTGATCACCAGTCTGTGATGTGAGCGCCTATCCCATGACCCGTGCTTAATCACGCAGCACACCGTGTGGAGACCCCTACAGATTGAGACATCGACAGTGCTGGAGCCATGCGGGGACTGGAAAGTGGGGTTAGCTGGCACCGCAATCCGGTAGCGGTGCTTGATGATGAAATCTCGTACAACGCTGCCCTGTGCATTCTTCTTCTTGTCCCAGTTTGGATGGCGGGCATTAAGGTCACCCGCGATGATAGCCGCCCCTCCGCTCGCGGCGGAGAGGTGGGAGAGCAGCTTTGTGAGCTCCTGCTGAGATGCCTGGGGGGAAGCGTATACGCCGGAGAGGGTCACCTCATCGTGGAGGCCAGGGTGGTATAGCGTAACCGTCATGGCCTGATATGTGGGCGTGCAAACGCCGGCGGCTAAGCGCACAACGAGTGGTGCACGTACACAAACCAGAACGCCACCTTGGCGGCGGTTTGCACGGGGAACGTGTGGTGCATCGCTCAGGAAGCACTCCATTCCGGGGATTTTGATTGGTGCATCTGGCGCAAGCCAGGTCTCAGTCAAGACCAACGCATCTAGTTGGTGCAACTGCATCACGCGTGACAGCCACGCTGTCGCGTCCGCCGGGCCACGGAGGCCTTGAACGTTCTGTAAGCCAACTTCCATCAATTAAGTGTCGGTTTTCCATTGGCGGCGGTTGCTGCGGTGTGCATTGCTAGGTGAGTGGTGCCATTGTTGCCACTGTCATCACTCTTCCGTACAGCCGGGTGGGCGGCGTCATTGTTGTCACTGCCGTTACTCTTCCGTAAGTTAATCTCCCGGGTTTTCTGTGACGTCACCACTGCTGGCTTACCGTTGTTGCGCGTCGTGATGGGAGCCTCACCTGCTTCTGTCATAACTGTATCAGCGCAGTGCGCTGTGTGCACCACTCCCTGCAGCTGCCGGGCGTCGTGCCTTTTCCTGCATCCGTCATTAGGTGCAGTCGTCGTGTTCACTGCTCGTCTGCTCTCTTCGCAGTTACTCTTCTCCTCCTCCCCTCTCTGACGATCGTCGACCGCTGGGATGTCCGTCATCTTGTCCGAGCCATCGCCTCCATTAGAGGCATTCGCGTGCGATTCGCACTCCGCGTCACTGCTCGAAGAACTGTCGCCGCTACTACTTCCTGATACCGTACTTTCACTCCCACTGTCTGAGCTTCCTGACTTTGTGCTTTCCACTTCCCGACTGCGCCTCTCTTTGCGTTGTGTCTTTACAGGCCCCGGCGACTTGTCGCGGCTACTGGCGTTCCCGTCTGACCTTCCCATTGGCACTAGTTGCTCCATTGCCGCATTCAAGGTATCCGCGGCTTCCAGGTACCATGCTCGCACCGTTGGCGGGCGTCCATTTGCACACCGGCGCCACCTGTTGGCACACTGCTCCATAGCTGTTAGTTCCTCAGACTGGTCTGACTGGTTTCGTCGATATCGGAACGGCTTCGATGGGTCATAATCTGGTAAGTGGGCGTAGCCCAGCAGTTTCATGGAGGTAATCAGGCGTGTTTGGTACGGTGCATGCGTTAATATTTCTGCCGTTGAACGGCCAATGAACGAGAGTGCCAGCACCGCCCAACCAGGCAGGAACCTTGTCAGAATCCTACGATATTCGCCAATCGGACCACGGCGGACATTTGTGAAGTACAACGCGACTGGGTTAGGTCTTGCATCCACCCTAGGGATGGGCGTGAGGTTCGCCGCACGAAGCGCATCTTTCGTTTCCTGGAGTTTGTTTCTCATGGCTGGGCGGAGTTCATCTGCCATGGCAATCTGCGCCCATGTTTTGGGTGTCTTCTGTACACTCCTCTCGGCGTTGTTTGGTACTGGCTGCCCTTCTCGTGCCTGGTCTGCATCGACTGCTGTTTCCGCCAAGCTGGCTGGCTGCCTCTGCCGCACTAGCGGTATATCGTTCATTATGCGGGTGCACTCCGCCCAGGAGATGCTGGAGTCGGTAGCGGCGTGGCTTTTCGCGACAGCGTCCGCCTTGACATTACTTTGTCTTGCAGGGGCAGAGAAATTCATCTTTCCTCGCCTTTGTTGCTGGAGCTCCTCCTTTAGCGCAGCGATCTCCAACCCTTGCGCAGTAATCACCTCACCATGGTGGCGGAGTTTTTCGTTGGCCTTTGTCAGCAGCCCTTCCAGGTCATCCACCCTTCTCACCAGCTGTTCAATGTCCAGATTCATGGTGGTGGTTGGGTCACCATAGCGCCTCTTAATTCCACGGGTAGTTGGGCGCGGTTCAACGTCTTTGTGTTTTAACAGCAGCCTTGCGAAGTTTACCCCATTATGCGAGCGTCCACATCCCTTACAAGTGGCCCTAATCCCGTTCTTATCTTTACCATTGAGGTAAACCTTGCCTTTTTCGTTGCAGCAGTGGCACTCTATGGAGTGTCTTCGTTGTTGGAAGAACGCTTTCTTCTCATCTTCTCCGAGCGTATTGAAGTAGACTAGACTTAGGCCGACGTCTTCCTCTTCTTGCGGCCTTGGCCTTTGGCTATCGTGCGGGGTGGCAGTACTGCCGGCAGTGCCAATGACTATTGGTGGGCAGGAGGGCTTGCGGCAGTTGGCTGGCGTGGTTGGGGGGCTATCGCCTTGCTGTGCTGGTATGTACTTTGGCGCTGTCGGTGTGATCAACCCTCCTTCTTGTTGGTCTATTTCCATATCAGCCAAACTTGCGAAACTATTCGTTGTGTGTCCTTGAACCACCACGTTCTTGCTCCGCGTTCCTGCCGGTGCCGGTTTTGCTACTGTAGTCCATTCTTGAGTATCTTGCATTAACTTGTCTTCTTGGTCTGGAGCCTCGGCTCCTTTGCATGGAGAGGTGTCATGCGTATTGGGGAGGGGATGAGCTGACGCATGTGACTCTGGTGGTTGGCGTATGCGTCTAACAGACGCCTTGATCGCCTTGTGAAGGTGTTTTTTGCTCTTGGCCATAAAGTTGGGCGAGAATGCCGGAATATTCACCACTCCTTCGCCCAGATACCTGCTGGGGCCGCTAGCCGGCAGTACCGACTTGACTTTGTTACCTCTGTTCACACCATTACTGCACGCAATTTTGCTGGTGCTGCTGGCAGCACTGATTGCATCATCAATTCTAGCCGGGAGTTCGATTGCTGGCGGCATTACCGCGTAACGCATAGACGGGTCTGGTTGGGGTTGCTCTGCTTGGTCACCGGTTGCGCTTTCTGTGCCCTGTGGGGCGCCTGGAGCCATGAGGCCACTGTTTTGCTGGCTGTGGTGATGAGGGAGTCGCTGTGAGCGAGGCAGCGCTGTCTTGCTGTGCGTCGTTTGTGGGGGTATGCGGACATTACGGGGGGGGTGCGAGGGCTCTATCGGCAGCGCGCTGTCATCTTCAGTCCTGACAACCACATTGGTAGTACCAGGGTTGCCGTACGTCTTTGTATACAGATGGGCAGAAGGCCCCACTGCAGCCATAGTATCTGCGTGCGGCGACAGCCGCAGCGTCGCCTGGGCAGCTGGAAGCGTTGCGGTAGGGGCATCATGACTGTGTGGAGTGTCATAGTCGGTTTTGGGGTCTGGCGGAGATGTGTTTGGGGGCGGCAGGGCGCATACATCATTGTGTGGGTTGCAGAGGCTTGGTTCGGCGTCCAGGGGGGCGACATGAGCTGAAAGCGGCTTCTGAGGGTGGAACTCCACATTATTTTGGCACGTGTCATAGCTGGCGGCAGTGCCCGTAGTGTCGCCGGCGTCGGCGGCGGCGGCGGCGGCGGCGGCGGCGGTGGTTATGCGATGCTCTTCGGACAGGGTTGGAAGCCCATCCTCGCGAACATTCACTGGCAGGCGCCGCCCAGTCTCGCGACCGAGGCGGCGGACGCCTTCCATGCCTAGGGTAGAGATAGGAATAGAGATAGTTAGCAACGAAACTGCGAATGGCTCGGTAAAACAGCTATAATTTCTTCGGTGCTAAATACTACTCGGATAACCGTAGTAATTCTAGAGCTAATACGTGCCTCCCAAGCGACGCAAGTCGTGGTACAAATTAGAGATACAAGCCAATTTTTTGGTGATTCTAGATTTTTTTTCTGATCGCACTAGTTGCGACGCACCGTTCAAATTTCTGACCTATCAACTTTGGATGGTAAGGTATTGGCTTACCATGGTTGTGACGGGTAACGGACCGTGGGTGCGGGATTCCGGAGAGGGAGCCTGAGAAACGGCTACCACATCCAAGGAAGGCAGCAGGCGCGCAACTTACCCAATCCGGACACCGGGAGGTAGTGACAAGAAATATCAATAGAGGGCCCGATGGGTTTTCTAATTGGAATGAGAACAAGGTAAACAGCTTATCGAGGAGCCAGCAGAGGGCAAGTCTGGTGCCAGCAGCCGCGGTAATTCCAGCTCTGTAAGCGTATACCAAAGTTGTTGCAGTTAAAACGCTCGTAGTCGGATTTTGGCGTGTGACTTGGGTCGTTCTCGCGGGCGCTCCCAGGTTGTGCGCCTTTGTGGAGGGGGGTCTGGTGGTGCTTAATTGGATCGCCAGGCTGCCGCCACCGTTTACTGTGAAAAAATTAGAGTGTTCAAAGCAGGCGATTGCCCTGAATACATTAGCATGGAATAATAGAATAGGACCCGGTCCTATTTTGTTGGTTTGTTTGAATCGGGTAATGATTAAAAGGGACGGTTGGGGGCATTCGTATTCCGACGCTAGAGGTGAAATTCTTGGATTGTCGGAAGACGAACAGCTGCGAAAGCGTCTGCCAAGGACGTTTTCATTGATCAAGAACGAAAGTAAGGGGATCGAAGACGATCAGATACCGTCGTAGTCTTTACTATAAACGATGAGGACTGGAGATCGGATAAGACTGATTTATGGCTTATCCGGCATCCTTCGAGAAATCAAAGTGTTTGCTTTCTGGGGGGAGTATGGTCGCAAGGCTGAAACTTAAAGGAATTGACGGAAGGGCATCACCGGGTGTGGAGCCTGCGGCTTAATTTGACTCAACACGGGAAAACTTACCAGGTCAGGACATAGTAAGGATTGACAGATTGAGAGCTCTTTCTTGATTCTATGGTTGGTGGTGCATGGCCGTTCTTAGTTGGTGGAGTGATCTGTCTGGTTAATTCCGTTAACGAGCGAGACCTGGGCGTGCTAGCTAGGCGCCGTTACCTTTGGTAGCGAGGCAAAGCCTTCCTAGACGGACTGTGGGCGTCTAGCCCACGGAAGCTCCAGGCAATAACAGGTCTGAGATGCCCTTAGATGTCCTGGGCCGCACGCGTGCTACACTGAACGGGTCAACGAGTGACGGATATGCGAGAGCATTTCCGAATCTCCAAATCCGTTCGTGATGGGGATCGACGGTTGCAATTTTCCGTCGTCAACGAGGAATACCTTGTAAGCGCGGGTCATCATCCCGCGCTGAATACGTCCCTGCCCTTTGTACACACCGCCCGTCGCTCCTACCGATTGAGTGGTCCGGTGAGGCCTTGGGAGAGCTAGATGAACTGTTTTACTCAGATCTTTTGGCTTCAACTTGGTCAAACCTTATCACTTAGAGGAAGGAGAAGTCGTAACAAGGTTTCCGTAGGTGAACCTGCGGAAGGATCATTCTTGAAAATTTAGAGTTTGTGGGGGTGGCTTGATTCGATTTTCTTTTTGAGGTGCGCTGCTTGCATTTCTCCAATCGAGTTTTTGTTTTTTGAAGATTCTTGGATCGAAATGAGAGTAGTGTTCTGAAAAACAAGGAGTCTAGAGTCGTCGCCCTTGCAAGTGTTCTATTTTCTTACGCGAATAACTGTACTTTTTTTTTTATTATCAACCCAAACCCATATGAAACGAAAAACTAAACTTTACAAAACACAACTCGTAACGGTGGATGTCTCGGTTCCTACATCGATGAAGAACGTAGCAAACTGCGAAACGTAATGCGAATTGCAGATCTCGTGAATCATCAAATCTTTGAACGCAAGTTGCGCTCGCGGGTAACCCTGTGAGCATGTCTGCTTGAGTGTCCGCACAAATCCGATTTTGGCATTCCGCAACTGTTGAGAAATAATTATTTTTCCGGTTGCTAAGAGTGCCGCTGATGGGTGCGTCCGTGTTGATTTTTTTTCTGTTGATTCAGAAAAATTGATGCGGTCACCTGGAAAAGAGATGGGGCGATTCTCAAAAATCAGGTTTTCTGGTTTTCGTCGCGCGTTTCACGACAGAGTAGCGGGTTTCTGTTTTCTGAGCAGGGAAAAAAGTATTTTTCCGATCACTGCGGATGGATGGTTTCGGCTGTCTGTTTCTGTTGGGGGTCGACGTAGTATTTTTTTTTTCGGCGACGGAAATGAATCGTGAAAAATCGTGTTGTGCGCGGTGCAATAATCGAAAAACTGGTTTCGTCGTTCTTTGTACGAAAGAATACCGTTGTGGGCTGGTCGAAGATAGTTTTCTGAGCAACGGCTTTTTGGCCGCTGCGCTTGCAGAAGATACTTTTCCGGTCGCTGCGAATTGATGGTTTCGACTTTCTGTTCTGTGGCGGGTGACGTAGTATTTTTTTTTGCGAGATGGAAAATGTTCTCCCTGTTCCAAAATTCGGGAAAATCGTGCGTGTGCGATGCAAAAATTGAGAGTTGGCGCCCAGTTTTTTGCAGAGTTTTGTGATAGAAACTCTGAAAACAATCATTTACTGGATCTCAAGTCAGACAAGGCGACCCGCTGAATTTAAGCATATAATTAAGCGGAGGAAAAGAAACTAACCAGGATTCCCCTAGTAGCGGCGAGCGAAGCGGGAAAAGCCCAATATGAAAAGCCAGCTTGCTGGCGTTGTAGTTTGAGCGGCCTGCAGCTGTCAGTCTGGGAAAGTGGCATGGAAATGTCCACCGTGGAGGGTGAGAGTCCCGTCCATCCCAGTCAGGGCAGTTGGTACGTGGCCGTTTCAGTCGAGTCGGGTAGCTTGGGAATGCTGCTCTAATCGGTGGTAAATCTCATCGAAGGCTAAATACTGGTAGGAAACCGATAGCGCACAAGTACCGTGAGGGAAAGGTGAAAAGCACTTTGAAAAGAGGGTGACAAGAACCTGAAACCGTTACGAGGGAAGCGGATTGCATCGAGTTGATGGGTGTTTGCGCTTTCAGCCGGAAAATTTTTTTTTGGTGGACTGGCGCAGACACTTACCCGTCGTGAGTTCTTGGCTGCCGAACCAACGGCGTGCCGAGGACTGTGGGATCCCCTTTATTGGGTGAGGACGATGGGGCAGCGGTGCGATACGACCCGTCTTGAAACACGGACCAAGGAGTCTAGCGGTGCTGCGAGTCGAAGGGACGTTTAATCCTTGTAGGCGCAGTGAAAGCGAATTACCATAAGAAATTGTGCTAATTTGAGGGGGCATGAGGTCGTTGACCAGAAAGTCCCACCTGGAGCAGTAGCGCTAGGACCCGAAAGATGGTGAACTATGCCTGAGTAGGGCGAAGCCAGAAGAAATTCTGGTGGAGGCTCGTAGCGGTGCTGACGTGCAAATCGCTCGTCGAACTTGGGTATAGGGGCGAAAGACTAATCGAACCATCTGGTAGCTGGTTCCCCCCGAAGTTTCTCTCAGGATAGCGGGCTGACATGACGTTGTTTTGTGCGGTAAAGCGAATGATTAGCGCATTTGGGGGCGTGCAGCCTTCTGGCGATTCTCAAACTTTAAATGCGCAAGCTGGCGCCGCTGCTTAATTGAGCGGTTTTAGCTAGAAAAAACGTCAGCCCCGTGGGCCACTTTTGGTAAGCAGAACTGGCGATGCGGGATGAACCGAAAGCGTAGTTAAGGCGTCAAATTGTCCGCTTATAGATCCCACAAAAGGCGTTGGTTCATCGAGACAGCAGGACGGTGGCCATGGAAGTCGGAATCCGCTAAGGAGTGTGTAACAACTCACCTGCCGAATGAGGTAGCCCTGAAAATGGATGACGCTTAAGCGGGCAGCCGATACTACGCCGTCGATTTTAGTGAAAAACAAATCGATGAGTAGGGGGGCGTGGTGGTCGTGTCGAAGCATTGCGTGCGAACGCGTGTGAAACGGCCACTAGTGCAGATCTTGGTGGTAGTAGCAAATATTCAAGTGAGAACCTTGAAGGGCGAAGCGGG